GGGAGGTAGACATCAACCCACCATCAGAGTATATTATTTAGTTATTTATTTACAGTACATACTACCCCATTACTGTAATGCACTATTCTGGGCACTTTACAACAATACATAAAACATATACTGATAAAACAAGCAATTCAATAATAAGAAATTAAAGCATTCGATAGGATAAAATAAGTGGCACCAGAGGCAGTTTCTCTTTATAATAGCAGGACAAGAAGTGTAAAATTAGACGGTTAGTGTGGAAGGCCTCCCTGAAAGACAGTGTTTTAAGTCGCCTTTAAATGTTAACAGGGTGGGGCCAAGGCATAGCTCCACTGGGAGCTGGTTCCACAAAGTCAGTTCCCACCAAGAAAGCCAACCTCTTGTGGGGAACCTTTGGGGCTCCCTCAGAATGGTGCAATGATACCTCTAGAACATGTATAAGACAAAAACAGATGTTACATAAACAACATAGTGGGACCTTTTTAAAAACTTGGTCACAGTTTTGAACACCACAACAAAAAGAACATGGCTGAAGCATAACTTTCAAGCAAATATGTGGTTCAGAGATGATAACTAGAGATAGTTGAAAAAATGGACGGTACATCCAACATAGATAAAAACAACTAGTTTAACTGGGATTTGAGTTAGTGTTTTAATGGAATGCATTCAAAGTTGTTGGGAATTTGATGGACAGTAAGAGTCGAATTATACACATAGGCTGCAGCCAAAACTGTTCTCACGACCTGGGGTTCAATCCCAGGTAGCCAGCTCAAGATTGACTCAGCCTTCTATCCTTCCGAGGTCCGTAAAATGAGCACCCAGCTCACTGGGGGGGGGGCAATGTGTAGCCTGCATAATTAACTTGAGAATGCTTGAAGCGCTATGGGGCGGTATATAAGCAGCACGTTTTGCTTTGCTTTGTTTGAAGATGAACTCTATTGTGGTTCCAAGAGATTTGTTGAAAGCAAAATCTCATGTTACGTACAGAAAACCAATCACAAGGTGAAAGGAGAAACAAAGAGGACACAATATTGTAGCATTTAAAAGACTAATAGATTCATTTTATTGTGAGCTTTCATAAATCAACATCCACTTCTTCAGACACATGGAGAAATCATACTGTGTGCTTAGTATTTACTTTTCCATGGTGGTGGTGGTCATTACCAGGTTAGAACACAGACAGTAAGACAGCTGTTGTTCAACCAGTGTTCTGATCTGAGCATTAGGTCTGGAGAAGATAGTACCTAAAGTTCCCATAATGCTTCAATATATTGTCACTGCAGGATGTCATGGGAAATTTTGTAATCTGTGGAAGATTCTTTAGGTACATTGAATATGAACCCATCATAACACTTATTGTATAGAAAAGGTATGAACTACTTTTCCCCTTTCTGAAGACACTGGTTTCATAGTTTTTATACCATTCTATATATGAACTCAGTGGCTTTCATACTTCCTCCTGAGGAACTATTGATCATCTGTTCACAAAACTGAGGATTCCACGGAAGATTCTAGTACATTCTCTAGAGGTTACATTCAGTTCACAAAGAGGCAGTTCATACAGAATATTACTCAGGAATATGGGGTCTTCCTGTTTGTAATCTGTGTTGTAGAATCAAAGTAAGAAGTACAGTTATTTTCAAGTTCCTTTCAGGAACCATGTCTACTATTTCTGATTTTCTCACTGAGGAACACCTGATAGATGGTCCAGAATACAGTCTGAGGTGGGAAGACTTTTCTGGTTAAAGGCTAGAGTCTGTAGCCAGCTCATTTTTCATTACAAACATTGGCCTTCAGCAATTTGCATGCTAACTTCTCCAAAAACCAACTTTGCCTATTGAAATTGCCAATGACTTCATCTTTGTGTCATGTTTACTGTAGGCCAAATACATCTTGTCACAATAAAATTAAATCCAAGTGACTGCCCATTTTCAGACATAGTGCTGAACTTTTAAATAACTATTCTAGTGATTCATAATATTTAAATAACTTGTTTTATAAGCATTCTATAAATACAAATAATATGTATAAGTTGCATGATGCATTCAAAATGCAAAGGTAGTTTGAAGAAGGAACTGAGGTGCTATGAAGAATTATTAGCAACATTAGTCTCCAAATAAATCAGCCTGCTATTCAGAAAGAACATTACTGAATTTAAAGTTGTTTGCCAACATTCATTGAAATGAATATGTTCACTGGGTCTTCTGACAAAGCCAAATCTATTAAAAGTGTTTGCAACTGATGAGCTAACTTAGGTTGTGACCACATTAACAATAATGTGGAAAATGCTCTGAGACTATGACAGTCTGATTTACATTATTTTCCATTGTCTGCATGGCCTTCAAGTCAATGCAAATCAGCTCAGACTCACTCCCCCCCCCCGTCTGATTTCTGGGGCTTCTACTTTTTTCAGAATTTAATGTACTCACATTGCTTAGGTATATAATCACTTGCGCCAATGTGGAGGTGTTGTATTTAAAGCCATAGAATTTAATGTATTCACATTGCTTAGGTATATAATCACTTGTGCCAATGTGGAGGTGTTGTATTTAAAGCCATTCCAGCTGACTACAGCAGCAGAATAAGGTAGGGCAGTAGCAAAGCTGCTTTTCTTTTCTCTTTTCTCTTTGTAAAATTCTTCTTTTCTCTTTTCTCTTTGTAAAATTATCTTTTCCCCAAACCTGGTGCCTGGGTCTTCTCTTCTCTTCTCTTCTCTTCTCTTCTCCTCTCCTCTCCTCTCCTCTCCTCTCTTCTCCTCTTCTCTTCCGTTCCCTTCCGTTCCCTTCCCTCCTTGTTTTTTTTAGATAGCTCACTGTAACTTCGATAATGTTGTCAGCTCAGACAAACCAACATACTCTCATCAGCACATACCACCATATGCTCCAAGGTACAAAAGGTATCTGTCGTCTCCCAAAATGCTAATCTTGCCACATGCCCATTTCCATAATTCCTTTTCATAATGCTAACTTTATCTTTCTACTACCATAATCCAGCTCTGTAGTCTTGTAATGTTCAGTTCCTACTTTCTTACTTTGGTTATCCTTGAGAGTTACTCGACCTCTATATACTTTTGCTTACTACCTTTTCTGTCCATTTACCAGGTATTCTTATATAGGATGTTAGAAGAGGAATTTTTAAAAATGGTATAGCAATGGTGCAATTCCTAGTTAATTGTAAATAATATAACACAGAGAGAGAGGTAATACATTAGACAGATAGATATCTGAGTAGCTAATACAACATAAACACTGAAGTCATAAAGCAGAATGATTTGGCTTCTTTTAATCAGCTGCTCAGGTATGAATCAAGGGGTACTGTAGCAATTGTAGTATAGGGGGATTGTGGTATTTTAAAATATGGCATCTGCAGTGGATAACTGGTATCCAGTATTATTTTTCAGTTTGAGGACATGTGGTGTCAAGGTGAGTCTACGTATCCAATTTTTCCCTCCTATTTTTAATATTCTTGAATCAGATGCCATTTCTATTACAATAATTGACAGGCCCAATGAGCTCTGCTTTCCTAAATGTACATGTAATGGGAAAAGGAAGAGTGATGTAGATGCAAGCTTTATAATTAGGTTCCTGAGCAATGAGAAAAAACAACATAAGAAATAGAAGGACCTTAAAATGCCATATAACTGGCTAGGTTTCATATGCTGAAGAATTATGTCCTAGCTTTGTTCCCAAGATAGTGGTAAGGTAAACAGACATATTTATACAACCCTGGGAAAAATACAGATGCCAGTTTCATTTTGAATGTCTGGTACTTTTTTTAGCCGACAATGTCACTAAGATTTCAGACATTGCAGTTTCCAAATGTCCCAAACTCAGATTATTCTGGCATTTGTCAAACTATGAAAGTCTGCAAGCCAAAGAATATTGCCAAGATTTTGGCTGAAAGGCAGCTGGCAGACCATTAGTGCACATCTATTACACATATGCCATCCATAGGTGAAGTGCATTAGCAAATTAGTTTGTACCTTTAGCCTCACATCAAGAATATTATATATAGCACCCTTATAACTTTCATAAAGAAGAAGGATGCTATTGTGTAATTAAAATGCTAGTCTAGAACCTTTTACAGATGTGATGGAGCCCCAATTCTATAGCCAGGCAGGACATTTCATTGCTGAAGACAAAAGGCAAGATACCACACAGACACACACACACACACACACACACACACACACACTTACTGCATCTACACAAGCCAGCTGGACAGGTGGTATTTCAATCATACTTCAACATGAATAATAGTGTATGGGTACTCCAATACACTGGAGTCCGTTGGACTAGTTTTGGAGGCGAAGAACAAGTTGTATGACAGAAAGGAATAGGTGTGTGGCAAAAGAAGGAACATCAGAGAGGTTATGTGTTTTCTGCATAGCTTCTGCTAGCTCCCTGAGGCTATCTCTATAATCTGCTTAATGGTAAATCTGACCCTGTTTGGTTCTACACTTAAGTATAGATTATGTCCATCTTCAGATAAACTATTGATCAATTCACCTAGTATAGTGTCATCTTTCTGACTAACTTCTTCCAGAAAGCTATGTTATGAAACAAATTACTGTAAATGCGCTGGAGAGCTGAAATACACAAAAAATAGTGCAATGCGCCATGAAGCCTTTTGAGAAAACCAATCATATTCTTGAGCAATTTCCAATAATTTTTGGAAAATTGTTCAGGGCCGTTTCCTATTACTCTTTTGGATCTGTCTTTGTCTGTACTCGAGAACCCCACCCAAATATTATCAGTATAAAGAGAGGAGTAGAGTTCACATGATGCTTCATAGACAAGATATATGGTAACACATAATCCAGACAGCCAAATATCAAAGCACGGGTTTATGGGGTGTGCATTTCACATAAATTAGAAGAAGTATCTGATAAAGTATAACATTTAAAATTATTGGATTGTTACATCACTCTGTACGTACATACTTAGAATCATAGAATCCTAGAACAATAGATTTGTACAGCTGTAAGTAGTCCAAAAGGTCATGAGTCCACCGCCCACTCAAGCAGGAAATCCACAGCTAAAGCACTTCTGACAAGTCGCCATCTAACTTCTTTGTTGAAACTTCTAGTGAAGGAGCACCCAAGGGAATCAATTCCATTGTCAAATAGCTTTTACTGTCAAGAACTTCTTCCTAATATTTATGCAGCATGTCCCTTCGTGTCATTTGAAGCAATAACTTTGGGTCCCACCTTCTGCAACTATGGAAAACATGCCTGTTCCCTCTTGCTTAACAGTCTAATGACATCCCCTAATCGATTTGCCAACCTCTGAGACAGCAATATGGTTGTTTATTAGTACTCCTACAGTTAATTATGGGCTAGGGTCTAACTGGCAAAATGTTAAGTAAGTAAGTAAGTAAGTAAGTAAGTAAGTAAGTAAGTAAGTAAGTAAGTAAGTAAGTAAATAAATAAATAAATAAATAAATAAATACTGCAACATTCTCTTTCCACCAATTCAGGCTCCCAAAGATTGCCAGCTCTTCATAGGATGTACAGCTCCTTTACTCTTGTTGTGACTAGTATGCTTAGGTATGTATGTGTGTGTGTGAAAATGAATTCCTTTATTAGCACCTTAGGTGAAAGTTGTAACCAGAAACCAGAGATAATATGATGCTATTCACAGATGCAATTAATTTGAAATGTATTTAAATCACTAGGTAAACATGGAGTGAGATCCACAAATGAAGGCACAAAACACAGTAAAAGAAAATAAATGAACTTCCAACACAGTGCAATACAATGAGGAGATGAAAAGTGCAAATCTGGATTAAACTATCAAATGAAATTATGAAGTTATGCAAAATCAACCAGTTAACTCTTAATAAACCATACATTTGCCCTAGTCTTCCACCAGTGCTCAAGTTGAAGCTTGCTATGTTTCCAGCTGTCTTTGGCCTAAAGATTGAGAAAGACAGATGTATAGATACCTATTCCAAGGAACAGGTTCCTGAAGATTCAGTGAAATGTGCAGGAAAAATGACCCAGGAGAATTCAGATGGGAAAAATGAGAAGGAAAAATATAAAACAAAGTAGTGAAGGTATGTGTGTGTAAAAGGAATAAGGAAAAGAAGATCGTAAAGGGCGCAAAACAAACTAAGACCCAAGGCCCCAGAGCAGACTAAATCTATAAAAGTAAAAATTACATGAGAAAAAGTGAACTCAAAAGCACGTATTCCCACTCTTACGTGACTAGATTGTTTTATTCAAACATTTGGGAGAGTTGCTCCCTCATATTATTACTTGGGCCAGTATTAACTATGCATTGCTAATTGAAACAACACAATCGATTGGCCCATGAAGTAATGGGGGCCAGAGGGGCGAGTAAGAAACAAGATCAAGATGTCCAGTTAAAGACACAGTTTGTGAAAGTACACAAACACCTCTCCCTCCAGAAAAAAAAATGCACAGTTTGATTTTTCAAGGATTTGTATGGAGAGTTATAAGTGACTTTTATATTTTGTCAGCTTCCATTCAAATAGAAAGGACCTTTCACATCTGTTTCATACGCAGAACTTGTATATTTGCCAATTACATACTGACTGTACCTATAATGTTTTGTCAAAAACTGATACAAAAGGGGGTTAGGGACCTCTCTTAGAAAGCTATTTTCAATGGTTCAATGAAAAGGCAAGTACAGAAAATGGCAAAGCATTTCTAACACCAGCATAAAAGCAGAATGAATAAAAGAAAAGAAGAAACAAAAATGGCTAGCTATAAGAACTGGAAACTGAACTTTTATAATCACTGTTTAATTAATGTGTTTGGATTTCTCAAACTAATACAGAAATTATATATATATTATAAATTTATGTGAGGGGTTACATCCCTGGGATGTAGGGTAAAAGTTGGATTTATGTTCTTTTCACTCATGATGATATCTTCTTTGAGTGAAACCAGCTGTTGAGATAAAAAGTAACAAGAGACTGGTCTTCTATAAAAAGATATATGATGATGGGTCTAACCCACCCACATACATTGTTTTGATGCTATGTATGTCAGTTACAGTCTGAGGTTTCAGCCAAAGAAACATGTCACTAATTCTTCCTCAAATTCCTAGGTTGTTCTCAGCAATCCTTTCCCTGGAACAATGCTTTGAACCATTGCTCAATTTGAGGCATGTGTCTCTGTGTCATTCTCTACAAGGCTTTGTCTTTAAGTAGACCTTGACTGCAATCATCATGATAGAATGAACGTGTCATGAATTATAGCTCAGAACAAGTCTTTAGTGTGGGAAGTACTTTCTTTTCCCACTAGGAAAAGGTCTTGGATAGCTTGTTCCAGCAATGGGTGGGGCCAAGAGCACAGGGTGGAAGCAGAGCATCACATCACAGCACACATATGTTCTATGAGGTTGGCCTATTGCAACAGGTTTCAGGTATGAAAATCCTTTCCAATCTGCAAGAGCTTCTGTTCCATGCAAAATTTTGCCAATCTGCAAATTAGATCATTGTTTTGGGACCTACAATATAAATGATGTTATCAGTGATAGTCAATATGTATTTTTGTATTCTTTATTTTGAGATTCAGCAGCATTGGGAGGATCCAGTTGGGCACTTGTGATGATGGAAGACACATTGCCCCTTTCATGCAGCCACACCCCATGCCATTATTATCTGTTCTGGACATCTGGGAAACATGATCAAACAATTATAGGTTTTTAAAAAGTTATATATATAATTTGTTCTTTTATTTTAATTATACATATATATTATAATAATAAAGCTATTGCACAGAACATCAATGCAAATAATTAACAAGATTCTGGTCAGTTTTAAAGTTTCTGTTTTAGATGTTTCTAGTGTCTTCAGTAATTTTAGAAAGATATGAATATTTCATTTAATCTGATTTTTAGAATTTGCTAGCTTGCCTTATATAAATGCATTCTATTTTTCAGAATAATGAGTTGATCTAGATCAGTGGTTCTATATATATTTTCCTCCAATTCTAATTTAGTTTCAGACTTTTTGTCTTGAAATTTTTAGTTCCTGCATTTGTTTTTATGCCCTTTTTATATTTCTTTTTGCGTCTTAAAATTCACTTGCAACTAAATCATTAAATGTTACTTTTTGGGGGCATTTCATTTTCTTGGAATTTAATTTTGTTTTCAGGGGTCATTGGATTTAAGTGTCTTAAACAAACAAACAAACAAACAAATAAATAAATAAATAAGATATCATCACCGCGGGGAGGGGGCCGATGATAACTTCCTCAATGGCTCAAGGGGGCGTTTCTTTCAAAAAGGTTAAGAACCACTGATCTAGATCTTCTCTCCCATCAGTAAAAGACTCATAATTCAGTGGATGATTTCTGATGATTAAGTATTGCAGAGAATATGTTGTTTTGACTTGTATGCCACCCCATCGTCCTGAGGCACTCTCTGCACAGTTTATAACTATGCAAACAATACTCCCCACCCCCACCCCAACAGCAAACCCTGACAGGGTAGTCGCTAGAGATGTGTGCTATCTCACTTGACTTCTGCAACCTCTTCTGCCCTCTGAAAATCAGGGTTAAGGGACTTTCTGGAATACTGTAATGTGGGATGTGGTGCTAGGCGATTAAGAGGGGAGGAGAAATGTGGAACTGCCATTGAGAAAAAAATCTCTAGGAAGTGGAACACAGGGCAGAGAAATAAGCAAATGTGCTTATCCAATGTATCAACTGATATTCCTGTTTTAATCAGCATTCTCTGGGTTAAAAAGATGGCCCATGATCAGAATTGAAGAAAGGCAAGATCAGTATCTGTACCCTGTCCTTTCCTGCATGTAAGAATAGTACCGTATATTGTCTTTCAGTTCTGTGACTTAACATTTAACAGCACTTAACATAACATTTAAATTAGGTAAAACTGTTAATATGAGAATTTTTCTCCACAGACACAACCCAGAATTACTGACATGTAACACTGCATTTCTTGTTCTGAGGTCAGGTCAGTTGTTCAAGCAATGTGCATGTTACAGAACGCTTTTAAATGGAAATTTAAGCACTGGTTGAGATGCATGGACACACAAGCCCACACACATGCTTACCAATCCACTGATGCTCCTTCATTATGTGATTGGCTTATAGCCGATGAATCGTGGCTTAAATTGCAGCTTCATTTAAAAAATGTATCAAAGTGGCAGAATAATTTTGATTATTAACTTCCATTTAACCACCCAAAATTATCACCAGTCACAGCAATGGCAATGTTGCCTACACAATCGCTGTGTTGGAAGGCACCCATCACTATAAGCCAACAGCTGGAAAATTATAGTTGCATCAAATAACAATATGTAGCTCATCCTTGCCTATCTGTGTATTGGGAAACTGTCTGGTTTCCTGAGAAAGTCAAGAAACATAAGTATAATGAGGCATAATCATTAGCAGCTGCAATGGATATTTCTTATTACTGGAATGTCACGGGGTTGTGAATAAATGAGTGAGAGTTGATGCCTCCAATTGAATGTTTTCCATTCTGCATGTCCAAGACCTCCCCACTCTCCTGATACATGTGTAGTCACCTAATAATCTTGCTGGCACTTTACATTTGAAGGTTTTTCTGTTGTAGAAGTAATATTTCCACTAACAATGTGTATCAAGTGTAGAGCGTCTCACAGGATTTTAATGTTCAGATTGGTTTATTAATTTGGTAGTGAACAGTTTTGGGCACAGTCCACCACAGAAAAGTGACACAAAGTCTTATTGAGCTATACGTATGGGACTCTTCCTGTTGGCATTGCTGCTATGTACTGCTGCATGCTGCCAGCTCAAATGCAGTGCAGATTCCTTAGTGTGGCGTCCTCCCTTGTTCCCCTTTGCTTGACCTTCAAGCCTCAGAGCACACAAAAGCAAACAGTCTCTTCTTTTACACTTGCTGCCACCAGGTGATCTCTAAATCAACATTACTTCAGAAAGATTCAGGTCCACACTTCGTTCTTCTAATATAAAACTTTGGTTTATTGATTACAGAGATTTATAAATATCTAGCTAATCACCTTAAATTTCCCAAACTACACACTCTATTGCTCTGTCTGGCTTTTCTCTCCTGCCTGACTCTTACATTTCTCTAACTGACTCTATCTTTTGACGCCGCCTCTTATAGTATCTCTCTTGGCTCCGCTGACTCTGCCTCTTACAGCATCTTTCTTGGCTCCACCTCTCAGCAACATGAATATTCATAGACCATTACATAATACAACAAGAACCATAGATCTAATAAATGGAGAATGCTACACTTAGGTCACTGCAGAATTTTATTTCTCCAGTGAAAGGTTTACTAACAGGCCTTTTCCATTCATCACTTATCATTCAAACATAGAATTGCAATTGCAGTCTAAAGCTAGTCCATTGATCTTCAGCAATGCTGTGAAAATTGAATTAAATAGTTTATATATCTTTAGGTTTTGAAGATATCCAAAATGTATGCCAAATCTTTTCAAAAACAGTTGTCATGTAATCTATTAGACATAAAAGGGACCAGGTTATATATCTTTAGGTTTTGAAGATATCTAAAATGTATGCCAAATCTTTTCAAAAATAGTTGTCATGTAATCTATTAGACATTAGTCATGTAATCTATTAGACATAAAAGGGACATGGTGGTAGCTGCAGGGTCAGAAGATCAGCAGTCGTAAGATCAAACCCATGTGACGGAGTGAGCGCCCGTCGCTTGTCCCAGCTCCTGCCAACCTAGCGGTTCGAAAGCATGCAAATGCGAGCAGATAAATAAGGACCACCTCGGTGGGAAGGTAACAGCGTTCCGTGTCTAAGTCACACTGGCCATGTGACCATGGAAAGATTGTCTTCGGACCAAACACTGGC